CTATTGATTGCCACAGAGGTAATGAACAGTAAACGGGAGTAAATGAAATATGTAAAAGCTATTTAAAATTTCTGTTGTCTTTGTAGTGTAACTCAAGGTCAGATTACAGAGAAAAAAAACTGTTAATTTCACTAAAATACATCCAGTCATAGTCTCAAACATTTTGTGCTATTTCAGAAATTATCATCTAAAGCAATTTAGACTATAAGAGTGGTTTTAAAAACATTTTTTTGCTTAATAATATTTGTGAAAGGGTGAAGTGTGTGTACTTTTTTCGCATTTTTCACAGATTGTCTTAATTGAATACAAGTAAGCAGACACACAAGGATGCTGGTATTTAACTGATAAACTAGATTTCTTTTTAATAAGTATATTTAATAATGGATTATTTACTCTTTAAAAGTGAAAGTCATGCTTACAAACTTTTATTATGGACTTAAATGCTGTGTTTTATTGGGTCTATGATTAAGTGGTCTATTAAGACTATATTTTAATGATTGTCAAAACAGTGAAGTTTAAATCTGCTTAAAAAATCTGCAGGACACTAACAGAAAATCCCCTTCCCAACTGCTACCACCCCCTTCCCCAGGCCTCAAAATCACCCATAGCACAGTTTAAGAATTTTAGACTGCTTTCTCAATACTTCAGTGATGCTCATTGCCACCCCCCCCCCCCCAAAAAAAAAATCTAACTGAAATTTATTCTAAGAAAAATTTATCCTAAGAATAAGTTGTTCATTTCAGCCTAACATTTTCTAGAACCTACTCTCACAAGAGAAAGCTTAAAGGAACAGAATTTTAACTCCCTAAATGTTGCATAATTTAAAAACAAACAAAACAAAAACCTTACAGATTGGAATTGGCAGAGTGGCTCACATTTATGCTTTATATACCATTATTCATATTGCAGGATCTTTTGTGGCTTTATTTTTTTTTTATTTATTTTTTGTTTATCCCAAAGTGTACAATGGATAAAGGAAACCCAAACTCTGTAAGAATCCCTTTTAATAGTTTTGGACACGTTTTTGTGTAGAAGTTGATACTACCCACACTGTGAGAACTGAGCTATTTCTTTTTAGTAGTTTTAAAGTGCTCTCTAAGTATACTTTGAGTCTGGTTTTCCTTCTAGAGTCTACCACATGATCTTGCCACTTTATTTCTTTTATGTAAAATAAATGTCAAGACCATTCTTGTCAAAACTATTTTTAGCACAAAGCCAACAAGAGAGTGCATCTGGTAAAGAAAGCTGGAGTGCAGAAATAGTACATATACATGAGGAGCTGAAAAAATACAGGAATCCTTGCCAGCTAATGGAAGTGTGTATTTTACATGGAATAGTGTTCCTAGATTAAGTTGTATCCCAGTGGAAAAATGCTTTTAGAGATGAGAAGGCAGCTCGATAAAATAACACTTGAATTCTACTTCCCTTTAAAATTTTACGTAGTGTCTATGTCTTAAATATGTTAAAGATAGCCCACACATAGATCAGTGTTATGGTAAGGGTAGCCCCCTACCTCCCACTACTCATAAACAAGGGAACATGTTTTCTGGGCTGCTAATGTGGTTTTGTAAAGATTTGTAAAGAGGGAAGTAAAAGAGCAGTCTTCTAAGTTATGGGAAGGAAAGGATTCCATGTTAAAAGAAATCCTGCAAAGTTGGCTCGTGTCTTGTCCTGGCTCAGATACCTTTAATAGCTCCCTAGATGGCCCCTAGAGAAGTCATAGTTGCCATGCATGGCATATAGCTTGGCCTTTCAAAGCCTCCTTGAATCCTTTCTTTTTTACATATAGAAAGCTGTCATTCAACCAGAGATGAGTCTCTGGATATAATTTTAGTCCGTAGCCAAGCTTCTTTAAAGCTCACAGGTGAAGGCCTCAAATGGAGCATTATCAGTGAATATAGATTCCTCCAAGCAGCAAATGCTCTGAACTCCAATTGTTAGCAGGAATGTCATCAACATGGCTGTGTTTTTGAACAAGGGAGGTCTCACCTCTTTACTAAACTTCAGCATCTAACAGGGTTTTTGTTTGGTTTGGAGAGGGGAACAAACACTATGTTACTTCAGAATTTGTTTAAATTAAGTTGTGATGGTTTCAAAAGCTTTATGAGAATTTATCAGTTTTGTTAGGAACTAGCCAATATTTTAACTTAAATGGCTGGTGGTGGTATTAATTTGGTGATAATGTATAAAGACACAATAAAATAAAGTGCTTCCGACATCCCAGTTTCCAACTTAAAAAAAAAAAAAAGTGTTAGGTATATCATGACAACAAGAACGTTTTTAGTGACAGTTTTTAGACCTTACAAAAACATGTTTTTCTTTTTCTAAAATTTACTTTCTTGACTGGCATAGATCTCCTTCATAGTGAATTCTTCTTAAACTTATTGCTAGTGATGCAAAAAAAAACAAACAAAAAAGTGGTAGCAAATTCAGCTGATTCTTACAAATAAGTGCGATGGTGTGCCTTAGCATTTATAGTTATTTTAGATCCATACACCTGGATAATGACAAAAAGGACAAAGTTCAGCTTTTAAAATGTGGATCAAGTTATTGAAGCCAAGAAAGGGTTTTTCCCTGTAACAACATTCAGAAGTTTTTTTTTAAATAAATAATCTTCCTAATTGCTCAGCAAAATAGTAGATGATAGTAGATGAACATTGGTGGTCAGGAAAGAGATGCCAATGTGGAATCAGAAGGTAGGCCGTGCCTACAATAAAATTTAAAATTAACAATGGTAAATCAGAAAAAGACGCCTCTGGTCATTTAACCTGCAGAATTGAAGGAAACCTTTGTATTATTAGATGAATCCTTATTTTTGACATGAAAATTTGAAATTCATTGGGAGGATGCTAAGGCTTGAATGGCTTGATATTTGGGTATACACAGTATTATCAGATCAACTAATTTGGGTTTGGAAGATCCCATGATATATGAAATTGCATCAAGCAAAAATTGTCAGAAAAAAAAAAAAGTATCTTATTACAGAGACCTGTGTGTTGGCAACAGGAAGACCCCAAAGTTGGACCATGTGGTTCAGAGACAGGTCATGCTTTGTTATTGCAACTTCTATTAGCCCACTTTTTGTAATCAAGTTATTAAATTCTTCATATGTTCATTTAAAAATGATAGTTCTGATACTTACCTGTATATAGTAAAACTTACTTTTGTAAAATACTTCTGGAATTTCAGGAAAGACAGTACAGAATGTAAATAATTTAATCTACTTTTCAATAACCATCATCAAATGCTATTCCCTGTTCTCCAGTTCATAGTTAGTTTTATGGGTTTCCTTCCATTTTCTGTCATCTTATGTTACAGTGAATAGCTTGTCCATATTTCTAAATAGTGTTTTATGTCTGAAGCTTTAGATATCCACCTTCTTTCAATGGAATTAAATGCCTATGGCAGAGAGCTAAGGTAACTTTGTAGATGCTTTTAGGATCAATGTCAATAAGCTTTCATATTGCCAATAAACATTTATTGTGGCCTTGCACCCAGTAGCACCACCAAATGCCTCAACAGATTGACATTGTCATAGTATTTTCTTTTGTTTGTATGGTGATTTTTCTAAAGGTTTCTAAATGCTAGTCAACCAAATATAAATGTATAGAACAAAGAAGAAAGTTCAAAGCCTAAGAATGCTTTCTATTAATGTTAAAACTAGCTTATGAATTCCACTGTTTGCATTCCATAGGATTCTCCCTATGTATCAGTAAATATAAAGATTAAAATAATCCTAGTGCTGAAAAACAACAATATATATATATGTTACAATATATACATTAAAGGAAAGGGATAGAAAAGAAACCTGAACAAGCTGTTATAATCTCTTACTTATGCCTTCCCATAGAGATCTTTAAATAAGATTTTATATTTAGAGTCTATCTTCACCTGGTGGTAACATCATTCTCTAAATAACAGAAGGGCAAAATTTTTATTACCCAAAACTAAGTAGTCAAATTACTTGTAAACATGGTTAAAGTTGCACCTGTGTTATTTGTAACTAAAATATTAACAGTTTATGAATAGTTAATCTTATAAAACTTGTTAGCAATGTAAAAGCAGTTAGGTAAAACTACTCTTGAGAAAGATGAGTTAATCAACAATCATTAATCATTCAAATTAAATCTAGCTGTCACCTCATTTTTACTAATATTTGTTGGTAGTGTGTTTTAAGATTCAGCTCACATGCTCAACAGAAACAGTTCTTCATTTGCATTAGCATAATATTTCTGACTATCACAAAACAAAGATCCAGAAAATTCTGCATCACCTGTGATAAGGAGCATGGTGCTATGATGTCTCTTTGCAGAAGCATCACTGGGCTGAAAATTTGCTTCTCTATCTTTCTGCTTGTACATGCTCGCTTGTAGAGATGAAATAACTGGAATGAACACAGTGCTGAGAGTATAGGCTTGTGCAGGACAATAAAAGCCTACAAGTCGTAACTGCTTAAAGAAACGGGCAAAATAATCAAAATGGAATTTATACTCATGTCTGTTGTTTCCCTGAAGGTAAAAGATGCTTCTTTAATAGATAGAGCAGGTTTCTGATATCAGATGTCACCATCTCATAATTTGACTTTAACATTTGATGGTCCTTCCAGTAACTTCAGAAGAGTGCCCCTTGGTAGTGAGGCACAATGATTCCTATGAAAGAAAGTAGTTGTTTTCCTGGAAACTCATCTGAAATGTGTCTCAGACAAAAAAAAAAAAAAAAAAAAAAAAAGTTTCTTCTCTACAATGAAAATTTATTAGAATATTCTTACTTTAAAAGATGTTGGGGAATTGGGGTTGCAGTATTTAAGTACATGTCCCTTTGCATATATGAAATGATGTAGAAGGAAAATCTTTTTCCTAAGTAAGAAGTGAATAAATATGATTAAGTTAAACTTAATGGAGTTAATGGATTTAGCCTGTTCTACATGCAACTCTATGCAACTCTATAAAATTACAGAATATTATGGATTTGTCTTTGGACGTTTATTATTTTTCTTTCAGATAATGGATAACAGCCTCATTCGACAGCCCTTTACTGTTTTACCAGTTAAGACAAAATGGAACAGTGCAAACTTTCATATTCTATTATTTGATCTGGAAAAACTTGTGGAACTTCTGCTGTCATCTCAACTCTGTGGATTAAAGTCATCAAATTCATTCCACAACCTTGACACTATAGAAAGAGCCAAAAGTACTACTGAGAAAAGGGCACTGACACTAAAAAGAAATAAAACTGCTGGTTCCATATCAACAGTTGATGGGCAAGTAGATGCTCTTTGTGCAAACCAAGTCAGTGGGGATACTAATGCAGTTAGATCTTTGGAAGAAAGTGGTGGCATAAAAAGACAGAAAAAAATGAAGAGTTCAAGAAAGATTAGAATGCAGTCATCAGGAAACATTGATGTGGACATCGCCACAGATACAGCTAAACTGCTTTTGTCATGTCTCTTACCCTGGGGTGTAGATGAAGAAATAGACAATCTTTGTGTAAGACACCTAGATATATTACGGCTCCAGTGTCCAGTTTCTTTTGGACTTCTGTCAAATGAAAGTCACATATCACTGATGTTGCCGGGATGGAAGTGTACTGATTGTGGTGTGCTAGAAGAACACACATTGAGTAACTTGTTTTCAAAGAGAGTGTTTGATTTATCAAACAAGTACCTTGCTGCAACTGAAGGACAAACTGAAACAAAGGAAGAACCAGTGAATAATGCTTATGGAGCAAAGGGATCGGAAACAGTTCTTTTCTTATTTAACAGAATAGCTTTAATCAACAGGATAATTAACATGCCTTCAGCAGATACAAGTGAAATTGAAAGGTAAGAACCCTTCTTTCAAAGTACTTTGAAAAAAAAAAAAAAAAGATCAAAAGAAAAAGGGAGGGGAGGAGGAGAGAATGACATGACCGATTTTGTTCTTAAATATGGACGTATTCAGTGGAATTTGCATTCTTCCTGTAGAGATTTTTTTATAGGATGTCTTTTCAATGAAAGAATAGGTACAAGTTAAGTATCTTTACAGATGATGAATAAACTGACGTAAGAAACTTTTCAACTGAACAGAAATTTGAATTATCCAACTTCACACCCTATCTTTCCAGAGAACTCTTTTCCTCACTACTTAAAGTAAGGAGAATAATGAGGTCTCTTCAAGCACATTTGGAGACATGTATTAACACATTTGTGCTGTTTTAACTTCCATTCCCTATTAGCAATATACTTTACCACGAAACCCCTACCTCCACAGATAAATAAAACATGAGAGGCAACAATCTCTACTTCTTATGTTATCTACACAGAGTAATAATGGCAGCTAGAATGAATGAATACTTTATCGGCCCTTATGTTATAAGAACCATCCCAAATAACATTTGTTACTTAAAACAAATTTATCAACTAAATGCTTTTTCCGCATTTTGAGAAATAGTATGCTCATTATTATTTGACCTATCCAAATAAGGCTCACTAGTCAGCTAATGGATATTGTCCAGACTGTTTTTGTTCAGCAAACCAGTGTTGGTCCATATTTAGTATTTTAGGGACAATGAAATTCAGTGTTGACGCTATGACCTAGAGGTAAGGAGGGGAACAAAAAATACTGATCCTGGTGCAGCAAAGAACTGTGCATCTTCCACAAGGATCTGGGCATTCAGGATACCTCAGTAGGTATACAACATCCTGCAGGACAAACATGCATTTCTCAGTTACTTTTCCTGCTGATTGCATTGTCTACTGGTACATATTCAACACAAGTTCTTATATTAAAGGACGCTTCCAAGATTCCAGCTTGAACATGAAATCTTTTTTTTTGCAAGAAAATGTTATGCTTGCATTGTGTCTTACAGTACTCTGTTGGTAGAGACAATGTATTCAGTTAGGAACATACTAAAATCATACATTTTTCCTGACAAATTCTAGCTTTGGAGAATCTCACCCATAAAATTATTGAAGTTGAATAGAAAAAATACGTAGTTTATTTTGTGAAAACATTATCATACAATTTTAAACTTTCTCTAGGAAAGGTAAAGCCATAAAAGCAAGTGTCACCTGTAGAAATAAGTGATTTTCTTATTGTACGAAATACAAAAAATTGCCATAAATTTCAGTTTAAAAAAAGTTAGTTTATATTCAATGACTGTGAAATGCTTTAGTTCGGATTTTTGACATGGTTTGGTATGGATTGTGTCTTTTTTTTTTTAGAGCTGAATAGTATTCTTATTTAGAGCTGTCTTGTGACTAAGTTTCAGTTTGGTGCCATTTGTGATGCTCTCATATGGGCTTTTACTTCCTTATGGAGTCATCTGAATAAGAGCTCTTGAGTTGTATCCATTTAATTTTTTATTTATTTTTGAAGGGGGGGAGGTTGATTGGTTGCTGTTAAGCTCCCCTGAGTTCCTACACAGCAATACCATGCACTATGAGTCCAGATAGAGATAACACAAGTCTTTTTTTTTTTCCTGATTTTACTTGCACACTCTTGTGTGTTTTTAAGACTATTCCTTCCTAATAAGGAAAGAATATTCTCTTATATATTCAGAAAAAAAAACAAACAAACAAACAAACTGAGAAGTAGACACAATTTTTCGCTGCTGTTGAAAGATAGTGTTCTTTAATAGGGAATTTGATCAGAACTAGAGTGTATCTGCTGAAATAACGGAGACCTTAGAGATTTTAGAGTAACCTGGGCCTTTTCCCTCTATACCGCTGGTGACAATTTTTTTTTTCTCATAATGGCTTTCTGTTCAGACCTTATTCTCCCCGCTACATTCCAAGAACTGTTTTGGAATGTTAGACGTGTGAGTAATAATTCCCTTTTTTCCCTAATAAACAAAGATAACAGATGAAGTATGTAAAGAACTTTGTACATTTTCCTAACAGCTGTAATGTGCAAATGATGCCCCACTACAGTAAAGAATCATCCCTTTGACAGCAAATCAAAGTTGTGTGAGTAAAGACAACAAGATTGTTTTTCTGTCTCATACACAAAGAGGTTATTTAAAGAAAAAATAATCTGTCTTTGTAGAAGAAGCTTATTAGAGTCAAGGAAACGAATTTCATTCTTCAAAAATTAGTTTGTTGGTTGTTTTAATGATTCCAAAGTTGGTAGGCTTAGAAAAAAAAAAAAAGACACTATCTACTTTAATGCGGTAATGTTATCTTTGTGTCTGAGTATTAAAGGCATAGTTCTGCTATCTGAATTTACTATCTAAATGTATGTATAAATTCTGTATAACCTTAAAATCAGTAATGTGTATGCAAATGTATCTCTTTCCACCTAGAAAGCCCTTTTCCCGTGAAGTTTCCTTTTTTTTTTTTATGCCTAGTAGTATGCCTAGTGTGAACATGACCATTTATTTACCATGTTTTTGTGATTTAGTATTTGCTGCACTTATTCTTACAAATAATTTAGGTTTGAGAAAATTATCACAACCTATGGTAATTTGTTTTTCATCTTCCAATATGACTTGTCCTTATTCCTTATACATTATTCACTTTGTTTTGGGGGTTGGAATGAGTTTTGTTTTGGCAAGCTGTTAAAATAATGCACTTTTGCCTAATTAAAAGTTTGAAAGAAGCTGAGCAAATACAGTTTTATATAGTCTGATTTCTAAAGGTACAGCATGTAGCCACACCTGCTTGAGCAGTTGATTTAGCTGAAACTACTGCATGCCCAAGGGAAAAAGCATATATTGAATTCCAATTTGCTGCAGCATTTGCTGAAGGAATTAGTAAGACTGCTTTTATAGCTTGTAAGAGTGCTGGTCTACTAATTATTACTGAGGTACAAACAATTTTTACTAATTCAGTTACTAATACAAAAGAAAAGAAAAAAAAAAAAACACACACACACACATTTTAATCTCATTTTAGTAGGATCCTTTTACTTTTTCAGTAATCTCCTTTTGAGAGTTACAACTCTTTCCTTCCTGTGGAAGTTTACTTTCTATTAGCACACTAGTGCAAACAAGAAAATTGAAGCTTTTAAACTTAAACACTTAAATAGATTATCCAGTGACCAAGATTCTTGCTTAATATGTATGCAGCTGAAATGGAAATTCCTGCCTAATTTCATGACAGAATAGATTGCATGTTTATTTCTGTCAATGTAGACTGGTGTCTAGCTACTGGTTTGATAATTCGGGGATGACAGCTTTCTTCTTTTTATGCTAGACCACTTCTTTGCTTATAACATATTCTTGCAATAACATATTCTTTGGACTGTAGGGAGAATTATTTTATTGTTAGCTATGGCCCTCATCTGGGGAAGGAAATAATAAAGTTTAAATCCCTGTTCTTTGGCATATCTGATAATTTTGCTATTACAGGAGAGTGAAAGGATTTTTTTGTTGTTAAATAAAATACATTTTTAATATGAAGAATGAGAACTGGAAAATGAATTCAGTCAGTACATATGCTTTTGGATATTCTTGGATGAGTCTGGTATTCTCACTTTGAGCAGTTACATGTCCTTGTCAGCATATATACATGTATGTTTCTGCATAAACCATGTCTTTAGCAACTCATCACTCCCCAGTGAAAAACACTTGGTTGACAAACTCTTAACTCACACATTTTCAGGTAATGATTTGGATCAATAAGTTTCAGGATATAGTTTGTATGTGAACTGTTAGCTACCTGATACACACACACACACAAAAAAAAAAAAAAAAAAAGAAAAAAAGAAAAAAGAATGAAGTATGAAAAAAATGACTTTGAAAAAACTTGACTTGGGACTGAGTCTATTAGCTATTATTCATAAAAATATTTTTGAATCTGCATTTTTTTTTTTTTTTTTGCAAGTTGACCAACGCTGTGATAATAGAGGAAATTGTAGTAAAATGTCAGGTTATAAAAGTGGAACAGAAACAGGAAAAAGCTAACAGATCTTCAAATAACTTTTGTCCTGCTGCATTTTGAGTTTTGTGTCTGTGCCTCAAAGTGCTCAAGCTGACAATTTTGAGAATTGCTTAGTATTGTAAAGCTTTCAAAATATTATGACTTATTGTTGGTTGTAGTGAATTTGAAAGGTGAAATATATTATTTTTAAATGACACACAAATTCAGGGTCACAATAGCAAAGCATTTGAAAGAAATAGTTTAAAATAGTGCAAGGGTTTAGGGGGGTTTCTACTCCCTTTTCACCCGTATTCTTTGTCTTCAAGGGTTATGGTTCCTGAATTAGCCAGAGACAAGTACTGAAGGGTTCTCCTAGATACTAATAGGTATACAAACATGTCCCCTAAATTGTAGCTCTTTATCAAAATCCCAAGTATTACAACTATATTCCAAGTGAATATTTAGAACCGTGAAAAGGTGAAAACCTGTAAAAATTAAAGCTGTCACTCTTGGACTTTTATCCTATGTAATAGGAAAAAAAGCTCAGGTACTTGGTGAAAATAGTATTTTGATGAAATTCTTTTCACATGACTTTGCTTGTATAAAATAATGTAAGAGTTAACTGGAAGAAATTTTGGCTAAACATGAAATTTCTGCATATGGATGATTCTCAGACTTGTGTATATGTGACTGTTTCAATAGCAAGTTGAGAGCAAAAGTGTGCAAGTCATTTGAGGATAAACTAATTTGTGGTTGACTGATAGTAATAGCTACAGTGATTATGAATATCTATCTTAAAACAGACATAAGGTTTTTGTAAATATGTTCAGGTTTTATTTAACACTTCCGTATTATTTTAGTTCACCTCGATCAGAATTTGTACATGACAAATGGAGAAATATGGAAGCAGCCATGTCTTCGTTTTCCAGTTTTTATGGAGAGTTATCAAGCAGTAAGTGTTGAAGAATGACAATATTAGCTTTTTTTGGTGTGTTTTGCATGCATTTAAATGCTAAAATATATCATTTAATTTCAATAATGAAAAAACTATTTATATTCTTTAACTTTGAGGAGGTCTGGATTGACTGGTTTAACATGTTGTTTTCTGTGAATATCACTTTTACATGCAAAAGCACATTAAATAATACAAAGATATGTGTTGTGTGATGGCAGAACATTTGGCTGAGTTTCTAAAGATATCTTCTAGCAATCTGAAAAATAGAAACATAATAATACAAACACTGTTGTCTTCCCCCTCCCCCATCTCCCTCAACATCATTACATGCCCACCCTATAATACATAAGACCCTTCAAGCAAACTGTTGCCTTAGCAATACAAGAGTCGTGTTGACTGTTTGGTAATGCCAAACTTAGACTTTTGGCTTAGTGCAGAATAATGTAATCTCTTCATGTTAATGTCCCATAGGCAATCGTTCACCAGTCTTGGATTGCAAGTGACTTTAAACTTGTTTTTATAGCATGTAATGAACCAAAGAGTAGAGGAAAGAATATGGATATTTGACATTATACATTACCTTAACAAATTACAGTGTTCCTGTTATGAGTTCCTGTCTAGACAAATAACATGGACTTTTTCAAGCTAAAATTTTTTTCCCTGGTATTTAAATAAACCTTAAAATCCCCATCTAAAATCAGCTTGTGCATCACACAGACATTTTAGGAATGACCACTTCAGCATCAAGGACACACTGGGCAATGTTAAATCTTAATTCTGCTGACCTTTTGGGAGTTTCTGTATATATTTACACTTGTAAAAAGAGATGGGAATAAAGCCAAATTAGAACAGGAGCATTTTGCATATATATGGACATTAAACTGAAATATATTTGCATGAGATCAGACAATAAGGTTGGATAAGGTACCATATTTGCTGTTCTCTTTTTGATTATGGGAGATGCTTGCTAAATGACCATTTATGCTTAGAATGGAGAAGCTTCAGGTTAGCTCTTATCTAGGTTAGTAAGAACAATAGAAGCTGCCAATTCAAATAAATATTGCTCTTGGGGGGGGGGGGGGGGAGGGGAGAGAGCATTGTGTTTGAAATAATCTTTACAGTGACAGAGACTTGGATTGACAGACAGAACACGAGAGAAAAATAACACTATCTTCGCTTTTATTGTAATGAAGTCAGGGCATATTTAAATTTGTATTCAGTTGAAATCATTGAAATGAAGCAAATTCTGTTTCAAAGGTAGAATGTTAATTGAGTAAAAAATTCATAATCTGGTCCCAATGCCAAATCATTAATCAGAGGATATAGCATTTGAAAATTTGGCACTAAATACCTATACTTATAAAATGTTTTTACCATATCTGCTGGCCAACAAAACAAACAAAAATCAATCAACCTTCAACTTGGCAATTTTGCAAGTTTTGCTGTGTCAGAAAAAGAAAAAAAGAAAAATTCATCAAAAATTCATCATCCTGATGTATGAACAAATTTCAAAATTCAAATTAAAATGTGAGAATGAAAGAAGTTTACCTTCATATGATCAGTTTTGCCTTATTTTGTCAATGCTTTTTATATTTTTGTATTAGCCTTTACGTTTTGTATAATATGGTACGTTACGTCAGCTACCAGAGGTAAAGAATGTAGTGCTTGCCCTTATCCCATCTAACCATAAAATAATATCATATGCTCTCATTTTATTTTCCTTTCTTTTTCACTTTTCTTTTTGATCATACCTGCATGTATATACATATGTTTAAATATTTAATTAGATACTGACAAACATAACTATTTCACAAAACCATTTACTGAATAGCATACCGATCCTCTTCAGACTACACTAGTGAATACAATTGACTTTACAGTATACGTATACCCATGCAATTCTTTCAAGCTCCAGTCTTCATGGCAGGACTCCATCATCTCAGTGGACAACTGCATTGTATGATCAGAATACTTTCAGTATTTTTTTTTGGTCTTTGCAAATAAGCAGACAACTGTAAACAAAAAGGACTAATCTGATTTTGGATAACTGTAAGTAGTTCAGATGACAATGTGATATGGGTGCCTTGTGATTATGTCATTAGATTGAAATGTTCTGAGAAATTATCCTTTTTCAGATGTTGGAGTTAAAAATGTTTAACATCTTTGTATTTCTGTATTTATATGTGTACTGTCAGTTCATAAGTTATGTATGTGTTTTTCAGAAACAAGTAAACACCATTCCCCTGACTTTAGGAGAGTTTCACTGCTGAAACTCATTTGTTGTTGGAGTGACCAATCTATAAAGGTAGGTAGTAGGCTGTGTTAATAGCAACAATCTAATCTTTAAATGACATTGACTGTAGTTTAGTACTTAGAATCTGTAATGTGATACCGTAGTTACCAATTTAAGGAAAATATTATATATAAATCATGCCATTCATATCTTTAAAAATCAGATTACTTTGGTATGGGGTATGCTATTTATAAAGCCTTAATGTGCATGCTCAAATATGAGAAGGTAACCGTCCTAAAGTCTGAATGAATAGTCACCAAGTATGCTTCGTGATGTTTTCTAGAATTTGCAGCATGTTTTTATATTTTCCATTGAATTTAGTGACTGATAAGTTTATGCAATGATAATGGCCTTATCTACCAAAGGAGATTAGTGTGTGGAAAGATAAGGTGTGGAATAAGCTACCTCATAACTTTCATCTGAAAAGATCTTAAGACACTGAAATTATGAAGTACTGCAAATACCATCCTATCAATCCTACACAAATTTTAATGTTATTAAGACTCAGGTTTGCAATGATCTTTAACCAGCTTTGTAGTGCATTTTTTTCCTGTTTGCAGCCAAACTGCTGTAAATGCCATAACATTCAAAGCCATTTGTGACTTTGGCAACAGGGGTGGGTATTCAGCTACCCACATTTATATAAAATGATAGTTTTATTGATAGTAGGATGGCTCTCTTACTGATTTCTTTATAAAAACACAGATTCATGGCCAAACTGTAAATCCTGAACAGCCTGATTAAACAGTCATGTATGTTCTCTCCCAGCATCGCTAGTTATTCTACTTTTTAAAAGTTTTTTCTTTTTTTTTTTTTTTAACATCTTTTATGGAGGATACTGACTCTCAGACATGACCCAAAGGATTTGCCATTTATTGATTCCTCATCTCCTTACAGTACTACAACAGATTCTGTGCAAACAAGGAAACTGAAAGAACTTGCAGAAAATGATTGATCATGACTTTACTGACTAACTGACTTATTGAAGTTTAAGGGCCAAGGGAGGTCTTTTTGTTTTAAACTTTAAAAATGCACATATTTTTAAAATATTTTTACAGGATTTATTTCACCGGTTGATTTTAAAGAAAAGGTTATCTTCATTCATTTTCCTGTTCTTTTGGGTGAAATACTGCTGCTTTTTGCCACACTCTCACCTCACCCAGAAATTACTGAAGTGTTTTGGCCTTTCCAGAGATACACATATATAGAAATAATTGCTTGCCCAGAAACATTTAATATGATGAAATAATGACTGTGCTTACACTATACTTAAAATAAACTGTTCCTCTATAATAGACGTTTAGTTGTATTTTAATTTTATTTACTGTACTCTTATATTATTTCAGCTTTATGAAACCTTTGTGGCTTAAAGAATGCAAAATAAAAATAAAAAAATAAATTAAAAAAAAACACAAACTGTAATGCAACTGAAGTGTTTTGATGTTGATTCTGGGAGATATAAGCATCCTTTTTTCCACTAGGAAGATTTCTTTGATAATTATTCCTTTGCTCTTCCTAGCTCCTTATTATTCAAATAATAGAGATTGAAATGTGTCCTTCCTATTCCTTTACTCAGTCATTTCAAGAAGAATACAATATGAAATAATTTGCTTCCTTCTCTTCTGCTCTATGATATTTTCCAATCTCATTGAGTGAAGCTACTTCTTGTTAGGTTGACTTCCCTGAAGATTGAAGTCCTTTATCACTTCATAAAAATGTTTATAAACCAAGTAAACTTCTTCCTACAATGTGCCTTATTCCACGAGCTGAACGTTTTGTAAGACATAGTAAACGACCATGTTTCCATAGCCTTTGCTATAGAAAAAAATAGCCTTTAGCCATTTTCAGTGCTAATCTCGGCAAAGGAAATCAGGATCAAAACAGTAAGTTTTGCATGAATCTTTTATAGGTCAGTAGTTCCACTAAAAACAATGCTGTCTCCAACCTTTGTATATGTGGTCAAGGATTTTATTACATGGCAATATGCAAGCAGTCTATCAGACTTGTTTGGCACCAATCAGTTTATGGGGAATCAGCAGTTTGTTTCTGTTTTATGTATGACAGTAAGTGGAATCTGTAGTGTGACACATCCATATGGAAATGTCTGAGCTTTGTCCCATTAACTACTAATGCCTTCACAATCAGTAGGGAGTCATGCATCTGTTTTAGTTCTGAGCTACCTGGACATAAGCCAGTTCTAATCTTGAAACTGTCCCAAGTACTAAGACCATGTTAGAACTGTATTAATTCAGGACCACCATCAGAAAAACAGTTTATATAGCTTCAGTGTATAACATTTAGGTTCTGGTTTGGAAGTCCTCTATCTGTCTGATTTTACTGTATTCCTTTTCTCTACAAGAAAACCTGTATCGTTGATAATTAATTGGCTACTCCACACAGTCTTCCCTTAGGAAAACTGCTGATGCCATATTTAGACCTCTGACATAACCATTTGCATGAGGACTGTGGTTGCTTTAGCCTCCTCTTTCACCACTGGGAAAAGATAGAAACTATGGAGGGACTGTTCATATTTTTGGAGGAATGAATCATCTCTGTACGCCTTCATCTTTCTGTGGATTTCCACAGTACACCGATATTATTGTCACATCAATTACTTCCTTTCAGTTAATACCTAAAATAAGATGGGATAAATCTGAGGCGTATTACAGAGAATTTTACTTTCAAGCCATAGACCACTTCCTGTTAAGGCCATTGCTAACAGTAGTACAGATAAGCAAGTACCTTTTTACTTATGGTACTCATGTTTACAGAAATTTCACTTAAAAACTATGGAAGCATTTGTTTTTATGGTGTTTGACTCTACCTGAAGACAACTTACCTCATTATTAGGGTCTACACAATTCCCCTGATAGTAGATCCTCTCCATAGCCATGCCACTGATAATTAATTTAATTTATACTCCCCCTGCTCCATATGACTATATGTTCTTGTAGTTGGGTTGGCTATCAATTTCTTTATATTAGAGAAAAGCAAGCTGGATGCTACAAGTCTGATGCTTTGATCTGTATTTTTTTTTTGCTCCCTGATGTGCCTGTGTTATACAGGTTCCTGGGAGTCAGATTCCAGAAGGCTTAACACTGTAAAGGCTACGGCCTGAGCAATAACCAGGGTTGATGCCTTCTCTCATCAGACCCAGTCATTATAAGAATAGTTATGCTTGGAAATAATTGATTAGGAGAAAAAATGAAAGTCAATATAACTTAGTATTTATGTAACAATACTGCTTGCTTCTGCTCTTGTTCACTTATGTTTGAATTGTTCTCAGATATTGGTGCTGCAGGTCCTGATGGTCAAGCAATTACCTTTCACCACTGAATATCTCTATTTGTAGTTGGACATAGAGTATTTATACCTTGTCAGGTATACCCTTAGAAGAAGTATAATTTATATCATATTTCACAGTCTCAGCTCAAAAGTAGATGATTTTTTCAGAAATTTTCACAATTATGAGAAAAAAGGTAAACAAACCAAAATACGTGTTAGCCAACAAGATAGAAGTTTTACATGTAAGTCGGAAGAATCCTGAAGACAGACTGGAAAATGCCAAAGAAAATGAAAAGTACTCATGTAAATGTGCTAAAAATGGGCAAAGTTTCTGGGGATTTTTGAGCTTGGAGATAAGGTCAGATGAGGTATATAAACTGGTGGGGAAAACACCAGGAGGACGAAACCAAATGTGAAACCACAATGAGCCCTGTGGAAATAGGGATTCAACAGTAGTAGACAAGTAGCATGCAGAGACATACAGGTGCCTGCACAATATTATGCTGTGCCATTTGCAACAGTTTTTTGTTGTTGTTGTTGTTGTTTGTTTGTTTTTTTTTAAATTCTGTTGTAAGATGTTAGAGGAAATAACGTATTATAAATGCTGTCTGGCTCACATACACAGCAATGAATATCATATCCAGATTACCGACAGGTTCTTAGTATATCAGAAAAATAAATAATGTGTACAATTCTTTTGTGTAATCCTGTTAATTTTTTTTTTCTTGGTCTGAAGTTTTCCTAGGACAATTAAAATGTCTCTGGGCTTCTTTTTCTTTCTTAATTATTGTAGATACATTGTAAGAGTCCTCTATAAAGTCAGGATCTGGGATCTGTAATCCCAAAAGCTCAGGGTTCTATTGATGTGAGGAATCAGAAAATACCTTTGGTTTCCACTGTAAAGTCAAGTGCTATTATAACAAGATGGTTTGCACTGTGTCACAACATGCAGAGCTGTGTTCATTTGCTGTGAACTTCCACACTATGAACCTGGCTGGGGTACACTTGTCTGTAATAAGGAATTTTGTCATGACGGACACCTACAGCCTTTGTTCTGCTTAATGATTTGAATTTACAAGAGCAGCTAGAAATGTGATTGAGGATAGCCCACGAATTCACTGTACTTGATTAGTGAGATGAAATCTCTCTCCTCCAGGCAGTTTGAGGAAACCTGTGTATTGACTTAAATTCCTATTTAATTTAAATTATTAACATACTGTTTTTAATATAACATTATATAAAGAGCGTTTATAATTGAAACATTTCACTTATTTATTTTTATATGCAACTTAAATTTATATTTATGTTAAGGTGGGGTACACTGTATTGGAAACTTCAGATTTTCTCTGTCCTTCAGGAAGAATAGTTGAATAACTACCTAATGGGGCCTGGGGGGGGAAAGGGGGATGTATCCCTTTTCTGATAGACATACCAAATAAAAAGTTATACATGCTACCATTCTGCATCATATTGAAATATAGACTGAGTAGGAACTACAAAAGCTCAGGTCCATTGTGGAAGTTCTCCATGTGCTTTATACATGTACATGTCTTAGGTTTTAATATTTCCCAAGTTCTCCTTGGGCTTCTCCACTAAAGCAAAGATGTGTAAAAGTAATAACCTTGTCATACAGTTTCTAAACAGCACTGTCTTAACACACATGTGGTGTTAACGTAACAGGTATTGCAAGTGCCATTTATAGGCTGTTCATATTTGCAGCAGTTGTTCCTTTTGGATAAGAGGAGTCAGTGGAACCTTTTGCTCCTTGTGTTAAAAAAATAAATAAAAATGAAGTATTAATACAGTTGAGCTGGAGAAATAGAAGATTGCCACTAATAATGAAACATTTTGAAAACTTTTTGGAGAAGACTGGACATCCAAATTTCTAAAAATGTCAAAACACCAAGTCCTTATTCAGCCCATGAATCATTGCACACAAAGAAGCAAATAAAGATATATTTTTTTTGGATGATATCACCACCTGTCCTATCTGACACATATTGTCATGACCCCTTGATATCAAAGAGATAGTAGGCAAACAATTCTAGTTTGGAGATTAAGGAGAATTAATGTTTAATTTGTGAACAAGTCACAATTCACAATTAACATTTGTTAACTGGATAGCAACATCTGATGAATACTCTGTGCGTATAGAAGCATATGATTATTGCTGTCTGAAAGATATTGGTAAATGTTGACTTTCTAATGGCATCTACTCAACCATCTTAAAATCTTCTGGTATTTGCTTAAAAGGGACAAGTGCTTAGATAAATGACTGAAATAAAAATATCATCCAATTATAATTTGCATTTTTGACAGATTATTGAGGCAATGCAAGCGGTGCTGTTGGCAGAAGTTCAAAGGACTATGAAAACCTTGAGAAAGACAGCAGTCTACAGAGAACCATTGGCCATAGTAGAGAATGGAAATGGTAAGTTGCAGACACTGCCAAAGACTGAGGAGGCAAAGCAGATGGGTTTGCAATACATTAAAAACTTTGCCATGTAAGTGCAAAATTTATTGGAATATTCTTTTAGCTGAGAACTTTCTCTAGTACTCAGAAGTTAGCAGTATGAGTTCATAATACATTATTACCATGTAAGACAAGCCAAGTGGCCTAATTTTGACCCTATCAGCCTATTGCTTTTTCAGATGTATGTCAGGGAGTTAAAGGACTTCTACACTCTCTCATCATCTCACAACATTAAAGAAGAACTGATAGTTTTTTTGCTTGTATGATTTCCCTTATAAATATAATTGTTCTGGTATCGTAAATAAATCTGAAAATAAAGGAAGAAGCGTGCTTGAAATAGGATCAGTAAATCATAATTAAAAAAAAAAAGTTTTGCAAATGTATCTTTTCTATGACATCAGTCTTATCCAGCACTAAAAATTAATTGCTTAAATTTTATAACTTCGTAATGTAATATAGAATATTTTATTTTTCTTTTAGAAATAACCTCCCTGCAAGGAGATATCAAATACATTTTACAATTAGATCATTTCATTTTACAAGAAGCCTACCCTTTGCAACTTTACAGTGGTGCTAATGTTTATGGTAAAAAAGATTGAACTTGAATTTATATTATGAAGTTATACTTTTTTTTTTTTTTACCACATTAGCTGAGTCATAAAATCAAGTGACCTGAATTTTAGATCTGATCTTATTATTGAGCCTTCTCTTGGGAAACTAATTTATAATCTCATTGAGTATGTGTCTGTCATATAAAATTGTTGCATACTTGCTTCTTCCAGAATGCTAAAAGCTATTATTCATACTTGTTTCAGGCCATGGAACAGTACTGACCCTAAAATTTTGGCTGTTGGAATACAACAAACTACAAACACTTTGAATTATTGTCATATATGAATTTAGAATTTGTTTACACTGGAAATAGCATTGAATCATTCTAGTTCTATGCAGTTTGGGATAAGTTGCTTTATAACTAAAAAACATCCCCAGCAGCAAAGTTCATACCTGGACTTGATTTCAAAATTCCTGAATTTTCAGGCTGCATTCCAATACAGTGTTTTGATACGGATTACAACAAAAATTGGATTAACTAGAATTTGCAAATGCAGACATCTGCAAACTCCAGATGTGTTTAAGTGTTGGGTTTGATTCAAACCCTTCTATACTAGATGGAAAAAAAAAAGTCTCTTATGTAAAGAGTGCTGGAATGATTACAAGATTCTGGTAGTCAAGTGCTATTTAATTCTGCTTGAGTATTGAGGCTCACAAAAGTTATGAACTGAGAGCAGCTACTCTAGATTTCCAGTCTCTGAAAGGGGAATGTGTTTGTTTGCATGTTATGTTAAAAAAAAAAAAAAAGTCTTTTTTTTCCTTACCCTATTTTTTGCAAGTTAATCAAGAGGAAACTAGAAAATTCCTCTGTTACAGTGAGCACAACACTCATGTGTACCTATAGTGGTTAGGAAATAGCTTTTTTTCCATACTTGAACCTATAAAGCAGTGTGGATTTTTTTATTTTTTTTTTAATGATCATTGTTCAGCAATGTATTCTGGAGCAGACTGAAACAGATAGGAACACCAGGAAAGAGTTGTTACACTATGAGTATTTAATATACTGTTTTTCTTTTTTTTTTTTTCTCATTTCCATTACTGTTTTAACTTACTGCATTATTCATCATATTATGTAAGTAGCACAAGTATTCTTATTTTGGCTTTTACGGTTTTCTAATAGGAACTATTAAAAGGAAAAAGTTGTTAAAAGGAAATATAAATGCAACTAGATGTAGTTTCTTTGTTAATGTCAGTGATATGATCATTTTGGGCCTTTTCCAAATATACTGATAAACATTTTCATATCAATGTCATGATTGCTATCTGTGAGCTTTGGTTAAGTTCTTCAGAGAAACTGAAGTTTTCCCTGCTTTTTTTGGTGGTTGTTTTTTTTTTTTTTTTTTTTTTTTTTTTGGTTTGTTTGTTTGTTTTGGTTGTTCGGTTCTTGCTTTGTTTGTTTGTTTTTTGACATTCATCACAATTCTGAAAAAGGACATTGCACTAATTTCTTACTGCCTTTTTCCTAAACATTAGTAACCTTGCATTAATGGTACCATTTAACAGATTTCACTGTGGTATCATTTTCCACTGCCAGCTAAGTCAGAAGAGGTGGGTTTAAGGATCTTATCTACCCTTATTTGCATAAACTAAGAGGAAATAAATCTGCTGACATCCTTTTATTCATCCTTCATTTTAAATATTTGATCTTATGACATATATACCTGGTACAAATCCACACATGCAGAACTTATTAGATCAGAGGAAAAATGGTGGTAATCTCATTCAATAGCCCAGTGACTGGATACAAAGAAATCGGGTAGTCCCTCCTGTAGTTCATTTGAACCCACAGCTCCCTCAACATTAATTCATTGCTTATCTTGCTTGAATTGCTTATTCAAGGTGTTTTGCAGTGATTTTTTCAAATTCATTTACAGATGTTTCACTCTTAATGCAAATCACAAAATATTTCTAAGTGCTCGAATATTTGCAAAACTTAGAAACTAGCTTCCCTCACGTCCAGATAAGTGTTGTGTGTAGAACTGTAATCTCCTTTTAGCCAGTGCACTGAAGCAGTGTCATATGTGCCATCCCTGAATGTCTATTTCTTCTAATGCAGAAGGAGCCAAAACTATATTACCTGAGATAGCAGTCAGGCACACAAGTTTTTCTGGCATTTTTTGCCTAATTTTATTTTTTATTTTTAAATGTGAGTAACTGGATTCAGCTGCATTTTAGGAAAATTGAGAGGATAAATGTGTTTTTGATATTTATGCTCAGATATTAAATAGAGGAATTGATGTAAATATTTCAGGAATGCCAAAAGTTGGAAAAGTGAACAGCAAACACAACATACCAGCTTTATTTGTAAATACAGTATATTATTTTAACTGCATCTTAGATTAGGGAAAAATCACACTTTAGCTGGCAAAAAGTTCTGGTTAACGCATAAAAAAATACTAATTTAAGTATGATTAAAGTAATGATTAAGATTTTAAGTATATTTGAAAGCTATTAACTATAAGCTCATCTTTTGCATGTGGTTTTGGAGCACTTTGAATTATTCAATTAAATTGGTTCTTGCAGGAAAAACAAGCTTCTTGTGATAAATACCATTACGAAATTAACACTCAAATGTGAATTTCAGAGTTCAGTGTGTCAAGAATTGTCAGAGTCTTATCTACAACTTAATGTTTTGTTAAAATAAGGACTCCTATTTGGTCAGTAATGATAAATCAATGAAAGACAAGATATAACAGCTTCTGTTTGCTACAAAGTGCAGTGACTTGCAGTGGAAGCTTGCAAATACTTCTGTTCTCTCAATTTCAGAAACCAGTCTGGTTGCATACTTTTATGTGAAATTTATGCATATTTGTTAGGAAATCATTTTGTGATGGTGCCTTTTTGTATAGCAAATTAATCTTCTAGCATGCTTCTGAGGTCTTAATGTTTTGTCAAAAAAGTGCAGATAAGTACAAAGGATGTGCTTCTGTCTGATACTTTTTTTTATCTTGTCTTCTTCCTGTAGCCGACTGCCTTTTCATATTAGACCAAGTATGAGATTTGACTCTATATTTAAACAAACAAATTTGTACCATTGATATCACCATGATTACATTTAATCGAAAACTTGACCTTTGTTGCCTGATTGATGTAGAAATAACTTTTAGTTGTGTCAGAGACATTTGATAATGTAACCACACATTAATATAACTTGCATTGTTTCTGTTCTGATGGAACACTCCACACCCAGGGATCTTGAACATCTGATGAATTCACTGTACATTGAGATGAATGTATCTGTCCTCACATCTTTACATTTCCCTTACTGTGTTAGTTTTAGGTTTGGATTTGAGCTTTTCAAACATAATATTCAGTCTTTTGAAACTCTTTGCATTGCTGTTGCTGGGTTCCATATCCAACATGAATCAAGTAATCAAATAAAATCTGGGAAAAGGTGTCTAGTTAAGTCCTAGAACATCACTTAAGCAGAAAAATAAATGCATAAATAAAAGGAGAAAAAAAAAAGTGAAAGAGAAGATTATGGATGCAAAGGAATTGAGGTTAAAATAGAGAAGTCCAGATAAAATAGAGAAGAAAAAGATACTGTAATAGAAACACGGCAATGTAAACAGGGTGAAAAATTTCCGGTGTAAACCGGGTGAAAATTTTCCAGTGGAAGTCATATCCAGAAAATTGGCTGCTGATTAAAAAAAATTCCAGGAACAGAATTTGATCCCATTTCTGGCATGATACATGTTTTTGATGTTAGTTGGCAGATAGACAAGAAAATGAGGAACTTTTGACAGAGTGCATTATTTTGTCTTGAACTTTGTCAATTCCAAATTGTGAGAAGATATGATTAAATGTAAAAACTGATAAAAATCCAACAGCATGGGTTTCAAAGAGTATGAGACAGAATCCTCTTTTTGTAAGCACATTCAAATAATATGAAGGAAAAATACAAGTTGTTATTGGGAAGAAAACTGAACAAATGGGAATCACCTTTCATTATGACAGATTTCCTAAAGAAAAGCAAGTGAAGGATTTGTGCTAGCTTTTATCTCTTTGTGAAATTCACAAATCATAGTGCTATTTTCTTACATGCAAATATTTGAAGGAACCTAAGATAGTTTACTCCACAAAACCTGTTTTAAAGATTTTATTGCTGTACAGGAAGCAATGGTTAATTCCTCCTGATTTCTCAGACTAGTTCAGTTTTTCAAGAGTATTGTGATTATTTTCAGTTTCATCTATGAAGACCTGGAGTATGACTCCAGAGCTTGTATTTTCACAGGCAGAAAGTAAGTGCCACAGGACTAATAGATTATATGAGATGAGCATAGGTTTTGGTAATTAAAAAAAATAAATAAAAAATTGACATGAAGAAATCTTTAGATTCCAGGTAC